TCGAAGATATGAATTTTATGTTCTCGTGGCAAGAACAATATCTCACGAGTGAGCGAAGCTCACTCATGAGATATTGTTCTTGCCACGAGAACATAAAATTCATATCTTCGAGCCACCGTGTAATATCTTCTATTTATGAAATACCCATTTCCTTATGAACAAACTGGTATTGGAAATAATATTGGACCAATATAAAAACATTGTAATAATTATTCAACTTCCTGGTTCCATATTATCAGCATTTGTATGACTATACACTTTTTTTGAAGTGATTCACATGTATGATTTATTACATTTACTGCATGTCACTTGCTAAATAATGAATGAATAAAAAATTACATCATTGACTTCATACAAATGGATATCTGCATTTCACATAATTATGACGTTTTCTAAAAGTAGTGTTACCAGTGTCTATGAGAGACTGTGTTTTGTGCAAAGTAACAGGAGTTGTCTGTTAGCAGAGGTTTGAAAGTATAATGCAGCAGAACTGATCTGAACTGTTATTGGTGACAAAAAGGTGATATAAGTTCATTTTGTGGTCATTGTGTATTTCAGTTATTCAGTAATTGTTCAATTGGTTGAATGTCAACATCTGGAAACAGAGAAACAAGACAACACCACGCCATGTCGACAGCTTAGCTGGTCTCAGCTGTGTGGAGTTAGTCGTGTTAATGAACACGCAGCTAAGGTATTCATTTGGTCTTTATGTCTTTTAAAATTTGATTATACTAAGTCTGCCTCTGAAGGAAAGGAAATATAGATTTAAATCTTGAAATGGAATTAAATAGTTAAGGAGACTGTTCAGGAGTAATCTTAAATTAAATTTACAACCGTTTCTTTTCGAATGAAAATGGACGAGTAACAGAATTAAATACAATAGTGTACAGAGACAGCAGTGTACAACGGCCTTTGACAAATGATAAAGAATGGCACAAATGCATGAATATATAATAAGAGAAATGGAGTGAAAATGAATTTTAGCCGGAGAACGCGTTCAATTTAGTTTTACAGTTCATTTCTATTCTTGTAACTATGTTCCCCATTTGTGTTTTGTTACTCTGATGAAAGTAAAAGAGCATCATTGAAGACAACAACTTTATAAAAGGCTAATATAAAAACCACGTATGTTCTATTTCAGGAAGTGATGATATGTTACGTCATTAAGCCGCTAGGTAATAACGTTCTTATTGTGTGGTTCGATAAAATATCCATACCCCTCCCCACTCCCAGTGAAATTTGGTTCTTACCCCTCCCACCCCTCCCTGGATTCCAGTTTAGCGTCATTCTTTCCTTTGAACACTTTGACCGTGGAAACCTTCCTAGGACTGGGCATGGGTAACGGTTTTTCATGGAATTCCTTATTACTGATTTTTTTTTTTTCTCTTTGTTTGTTCACTTCTTCCTCTTCTATATTTTTGCAATCCATATTTTAATTTTTACAATAACTGTCTAATTTCTCGCGCGCTGATTGGCTCATTTTTATCATCAATAAGAGTAGAGACGGAAAAAATTTTAATTTATGCAATCTTTCAAGTTCAACTTTCAGCTGTCAAACGGTCAACTTTTTAACCAATGAGATTATGTGCACTTTTTTAAGTAGCCAATCAAAAAGCGAGAAAAGCTATTGACAATGTTCGCGTCATTTTGAATAAAATTCACTTATCTTTGTTTATGGCAAGTTTACGGCGTCTTTTCCCGTCATTCATTCCCGGCATTTGACCATTTTGGGGTCATGTTATTGTAAAAAACAAATTGACGTCAGTTTTTGATGCGTCTGTCCACTTATTGATGATAAATTGCGTCATAACATTGTCAAAGTTTACGGCGGAACCGCTCGCCTGCGGCTCGTGGTTCCACAGTCACGTTGACAATGTTATGACGCAATTTATCATCAATAAAAGGACAGACGCATAAAAAACTGACGTCAATTTGTTAAGTAGAACTAGAAAGTTATTCATGTGATTTCTGATGCTTTTTTCTTTATTACAGATATGACAAAAGAAGAAATGTCCTCCCCAAAATGTATTTCAAGATTTAAATTACAGGCAAGCTTTGCTATCCATACATAGCTATCAATGATTAATGATGTCTGGAATGCTTACACGTTTTCACTTAGGTCCGACTGAGAGGCTGTTTTAAAACGTTTAAACTTTTGATTATTTCAAGCGGTTTAATTAGATGAGTGTCGAAAACAATTCGCATTTGCTGTGGTTTTGCATTGCTCTTCTTCACATAGCCCGTGGTTTCACGAGAGATATTTACCTTGGTTTTGTTTTAACTTCACTGAGGTGAAATTTTTAATCGTGTAAACACAGTAACACACCTCAGTAAATGGTGGCAAAATCAAAAGTAAGCCAACCTAGGTTTGTCGACAGTTGAACGCCTTATAGCTCACTCAGTAACCGAAGTTAACCGAGGAAAAGCAGACGTTGTCGCGACATCTTGGCGGCAAGTGCTCACGCGTTCAGCGCGTAAAGAAGAGAGAAAGGGACAAAGATTCCTCCTAATATAAGTAGGTTTCAAGTCAATGGGCAAAAAAGCTAAATTAATTCATGTTTAGGCAAAGAAATCTCGGACTGCTGTTTCACTTTCATCGTCAAGTGCCGTAAGCGTTACCTTTCTGTTAGAAGCTCAGTAGCTTAGTAGCAGTGTACAGGCAGGCGCAACTAGAAGGAGACCTACCACAAAGAGAGAGAAAAAAAATCATATTTTAGGTCTATGGAGAAGAAAAGCAAATGTTAGAATTTAAAGCAGCCCCGAATAAGAAGAAGTACAGGTAAACATTTACGTCAGATGCCGTTCCAAGTTTCCAAGAGGCTCACGGAGATATAAAAATTTTCTTTCCACTATTCATCTACAAAGCTTTACAGTTAAGGAGAGTTTGGCTCGACATCACCGCCTACAAATTGACAACGACCTGCGTTCGGCATTGGAGTAAAGTCAGAAGTGTTATAATTTTCCAATAGTCTCTGTGCAACATTGCAGCACTTGCTTTCCGAGAAAACCTAAAGCCGTCCGTTGTATGCGGCATACTTTAGTGAAGTAGTTCGTGTAGACAGCTTCTCTAATAACTGCAGTTTAGTTACGAAACCTCGGTAAGCAGTGACCGTGCAAAATGAACCAAATCCTGCGCTGTGATTGGCTAACCGAGCGGGCAAGAAGGCGCGCGCTATCTTGCCCGCTGAGGACTACCCGCTGTGTCCCACCCGAAAAATTTCCTCGAAAACCTTATATTAAATCGTTTAATGGCCAAGTTTGTTCGGTCAAGGTGGCCGGATATTGGCCTGGACTTGGCCAGTATCCAGCCATCTTTACCTCACGCTTGGTCAATAACCTATACATATTTGTTCGGTTTGGGTTTACGTCGGGTTTTGGTAACCTAATCTAAAGAGTTAAATCATTTGGCTGATTACTCATTTCTTTGTATTGTTACTCACAGGAAGTTGTGCTAAGGAGATGGATTCCTGAGAGAGCGAGAGAACCAGACGAGGAAAAAACGTAGAAAATAAACTGGATCAATGAAAACATTGTCTCTTTGTTCTTTGTGGTTGTCTACTCCAATAGTTACTCGCATGTCAAATTTCTTGCGAAATCTTCAGCTGTATTCCAGTAGAAACATGCATACCAAGTGCGTAATACGAAAACTGAGAAAACGGACGGTTTTCTTTTACTGGCAAGATATTCACCACTGTGCTAATAATGAGACGGTTTCTCTTGTGCAGTCAAAATTAAACATTTCCCCTTTGCTTTGGATTAATTAACAGTAGAACAAATGAAGTAGTTACAGTGCAATCATCACAAGGTCCTCGAGTATATTACTCAGAAAGATGAATATCTATTTTTGGCCAAAGAAAGAAAAATCACAAAATTCTCTATAATTTTTGGCACGATTCGTTCCTTTGCGGAGAACCTTAAAAATGTTTGTTCCTACGAAGTTAAAATATCCGTCGTTAGTGAAAAGATTCGTAACAAATAAGCAGTATTTACTTTCTTTATTAGCTCTAAGTCGAAATTGTACAGCATGTTAACTTATTAGGAGTTAACTTCCTCTTTATTGGATTATTTATCAACTGAAAGTTGACACTCCGCAGCGAATTTGTGAAGCTGACGAATCGAACGTCAGTCCTTCGTAAAAGCAAAGGAACGCGCGAAACGTCTGCTTTAAAAACACGTGACAGCGGTTAACTTCAGGTTAATGAATAAAGTGACACAGCTACATCAAAAGTGTTTAGTCCTTGTCCACACTACGCCAGAGAAATCTGAAAACGCAGCTTTATTTCTACGGTTAGTATAGGTAATCATACGGTTTCGAGTTCAATCTGGAATTAATTTGCACGAGTGAGTTTTTCAAAAAGCTGAAACTGCAAGAGCTGCTTCGGCGAGTGCAATTTTTAGCTTTTTGAAAAGCTCACAAGTGCAAATGAATTCCAAATTGAACAAAAAAAACCGTATGATTACTTATTAATAATATAAACATGAAAAAGTTTGCGTGGAGGAACTGCCGGAAGACCTTTCTTGAAGCCATTTTTTCTCATTCGAGAAAACTTTTTTCAAAGTTCCGCGCAAAATTTTCCTCATCATTTTACGTAATATCATCGACTTCAAAAATTTCCTGTTGTCTTTCAGCCAATCATAATCCAGAATTACGATGTGTAATTTGCACTGGTGTTACACTTTTTGCACTGTGTTACACTGCTGAACTGCTCTGCACTGCTCTCAGCCAATCAGAATCGAGTAATTTTTTCATGTTTATTGTTAGGCCTGCAACACTGATCCGTTATGAAAATGGAGGTTTTCGAAAACGCCCTTCAAACAGCAGGAATTTGAAAACGCCAGCTTTGTGTTTTCGTGTGGATGGAAAACATTTTGAAAACGGAGCCTTTCGGAAACGATGACGTCACGATAATCATGTGATTTCCCTGACCGAGTTTTCCTCAAACACAAATCCAAAATGACCGGTGATTGTTGCGTTTCAAATTNGTGCATTTTTTTCAAGGTTCCATCGCTGTGTCTGGAAGTCGTCCACGTAATGGTGACTTTCTCTCGTCTTTCCGATGTTTCGGAGAAAAACTTAGAAATATCACTGGCTAATTAAATTCCCAGAAACACTAAAGAAAGGAAATAACCATTGTGCGATTCTAAAACGTCAAAACGGTTGAACGTACTGATGAGCGTGTGTAAACAACTGTGTGTCAAACGACAATTCAATTAGCAGTTGATTTTGCCAGCGCGTGAAGTTTAATACTGCTTTAAAGTATGTAGAGAAATATTTGGAAATCTTTATTTGAAAGAACTTATTCGAAGTTCTTCTGAAGCAAGTTGAGGCTGAAGGCCGAATCACTTGGCGATCACCTCAGAGAAATCGAGAGCGAGTAATCTAATAGGCCAATTTCGATTTATTAAAATTCTAATTTGGCTGTGAAGCATAGAGGAAGAAAACAAAAGAATTATTTATCATCCCTCAAACTCGACGTGATTTCTTTGTTTAACTAGTTTAACTCCTCTCAGGCTCAGCCAGTTTTAGTAGAACTACAGTTCTTCAAAATGCTTGACATGGTTCTTTTGTTTAACCCAAAGTGTGGCTCGCGGCTGTTTTTAATGCTTTTTTTTCTGACTAAATCTTATCTGTCGCCTTGTATAGGTAATCATACGGTTTCCAGTTCAATTTGAAATTAATTTGCACCAGTGAGCTTTTTGAAAAACTCTTTCAGTCAATCATAATCCAGACTTACGATGTGTAATTTGCAGTGGTGTTAGACCTTTTGCACTGCGTTACACTTTTTGCACTGTGTTACACTTGAACTGCACTGCTCTCAGCCAATCAGAATCGAGTAATTTTTTCATTTATATTATTAATAAGGAAAATACACGCTTCAGACTATCTCCTTGTCTGGCCTCGATCTTTCTTTTCCCGGGTAGTCAGTTGAGAGAGCTAACAATAGCGGCCTTTGGTTTGCCTCTGCAATCATTCCGTTTAGTTTTGACATGGTTAATTCTGCCACCTATTACAGGTGTAACAGCAAGATAACAATATGCTTCGAAATCCTTTGCGGATATCCTTGTTGAACGCCACGTACAAGCAGGGGTTTATCGCTGACGTAGCATGGCTGAGGAAAAGACCAATTGATCCGATGCTAAATCCACCTTGTGGAATTCCACACAAGTATTCTTCAGTTTGAAAAAAATAAAGAAAAAGAGAAATGTGTAATGGAAGCCAGCACAGTGCAAACACTACCACCACAATGATCAACATCTGAAGAACTTTTTTCCTCGCGTCAATCTCTCCGGCCCTGTTTGAACGACAGGCGATGGGTACAGGCCGAATCCAGATCTTGTACACGACGCACGAGTAAAACACGCAAATGATAAGTAATGGTAAAGCGTATAGCACCACAAACATAATTACCGTATAGACTTTGGCAGCTGTTTCCTGGTCAAATAAAGGTGACCAGTCTTCATAACAGTAGATAACTCCGTTTATTTTCTGGATCCTCATGGCGTACAGCAGCGGGGACACAGACAAGAATGATGCTAGCCAAATGGCAAGAATCATGAATTTCGCGATTTTTATGGTTATGATCTTCTTGAGAGGGAATGCAACCAGACAAAAACGCTCAAATGCGATTGCTGTCAATGTTAAAATTGAACACGAAACGGTTGAGTCGGAAATGAAACTTGCCGACTTACACACGATAACACCCACTATCCCATCAAACCAGTGATATCTTCCTGTTATCTGCCTGGCCAGTCTTCCAGGCATGTTGCAGACGGTAACCAAGACATCTGCGGCGGCCATGTTTATGATCAGGCGATACGTTATGGTATTAAATCGACTGTTCCTTTTCACGGTGCATATCAGTAGAAGATTGCCAATAATGGACACCAAAATGATAACTGTGTACCCAATAATATTGATGACTTTTTCCACGGAGTTCTCCATTTCGGCTTCACAAGAATCGTTGGACATGTTTCTCGGGACGCTCCCAGTATTGTTTCCAGTGTTGTTCATTGTATTTCCATTTCCTTTCGTCAAACAGTCTAAACCAGTTTCAGAAACGCAACGTTACTGATACCCAGGCACTTAATACGCTTCCAACGTTATGCTTGTCTGCTCTGGCGTAAACATAAAAGGTAAGAGAAAGGACTGCCAGTAAAACATGGACCAATTAAACTAAAAATGCACTGCATACAATATCGCATGTATTTCTTCTTGGAAGCTCTTTCTTCCTGTCCTACTCAGCATATTTCAGTGACAAACTGACATACCTAGTTATATTTTTTAATACTTCAATTGGCATGGCCCAAGAACGTAGTCTCTGCCGTGTTCAAAGTAAGAGCTCCCTGCTTGCGAGATATTAACGAATGTAATTAAAAGAACAGGAAACTGGCAGATATATCCAAATATCGTAAATTTTTAATAACTCTAAACGTATTGTTTGAAAAACCTTGATATTTGTGTAGAATTTCTTTCTGGCCTCTTTAGTGTACGCCAATTAGTACCAGCAGACAATGCAGCAAAGTGACTATGGTAATAGGACAATGAAAGCTGTCTAGGTTGTTGTTAGCGTGCATAACAAGGTTTTTCTCACTAAGGTCGTCATTTCGACAAAATATATACCGAGAATTTGATTGGCACTCTGCTCAATGTTTCCCGTTGACTTGATGTTCTACTTAATATTGCAACTGTTT